TTTCATTACTCATCTATTATTTCCATAAATTCAACACTTTAGGATGTGGAAAAGTCACATTAGATAAATAAGTAGTACAAAGAACTAAGTCAAGACATAAGAATAGAACCAGAATACAATTATTCTTACCGACTAGTATATACAAAAAATTCATCCACAGTATAAAATGGGTGACAACTCAAGAATTCTTTTAATTTAAATTTAAACCGTTTAATATCTTTATATAATTGCTTCACATTTAGTGGGAGACAATCGAATAGTTTGATGCCCATATAATATGAACCTATTTGATATAATGATAAACGAGTTGAGGGTTGATATACGAGTAGATTTATGTTGAGTACCTGTCTAGTGTCTCTATTATGTACATCAGATACAAAATAATATTGATCCATGTTATCGACCACAAAAGATAGTAGTGAATAAATATACAAAGATGACAGTAAGAATTTTTAGAGTAGTGAATATCATTTTACATGAGTTTCTATTACCAGCACCAGTTATTAGTCTCACTGCCCTCTTTTGCAAACGAAAGACATTGCTGGCGTACGAAGAGTTATCCCAAAAAATAATGCCGTATCGAATAATAGAGTGAAAATAGGCATAATAAACCATCAGCAAAGTTTCCTGATTCACGAATGATTTTATGATTCGGATTGCATAGCACACAGAGCTAAGTTTTGGGATAAGTGAGTCAATATGAGTTTTCCAAGTTAAGAGTATTTGCAATATTAACCCCTAAGAACTTTAAACTGGTTGAGTTGGGTATTTCCATGTTATCATACACTATCTTTATCTCATGTTCATGCTACATGTTTCAGCTTATAAAGTCATCATTTTCAATCTATTGAATTGCAATTTACATTAATTCATATATTACAGTACAATGTAGTGACTATTAGTACTGTATAGGACGTAACACAGTTAATACATTTGACTTCGTCTGAATTAATACAAGTCTTATAAATGTATCAAAATTGGAATAAAGTTCTACATTAAATGGATGCCTAGAAATGTACGTAAATATATTTACAATAAAATAAAGTTCAAGTTGTAAATTACACTCAGACAGTGAATTAAATTGTTGTTTGTAATGGTTGTGGTATTGTCGTGCCTAAATATCATTATATATAAACACTATTTATGTTCAGAATTACTGGGTTTTTGGACTTTTTTCCATGGTCTGGTATTTAGAGACTAGAAAATGTGACATTTTGGAAACGGAATCTGTTTCTGTCCTCTGGTGAGGGGTTGGCGACACCTACCAGTTAGGTCCGTTCAAAGAGCCAGAGTTTGTAAATTTTACAAGAATACCACATTCTTTATTATTATGTCCAGTGACATATCTGTTGTGCCTGTCATCATCAGATGCAGCTGCAGTATACCTTCTGGGACTTTACTGGCTTGTCTCTACTGCAGCATCAGCTACACTTGCAACACGTTGGTACCCATATCTTCTTCATATGATGACAAGTGTCAAGGGGCACAAACTTATGGAGGCTTCATGCACCAGGAATGAGTATGGCAAATGGTAGCCTGTCAGTCTTAGAATGTGTGGTTTTATTTCTTCCTGTGATATATAGAAGTATGTAAATTTTTGGGCCCATTTGTGTAATCTTCTTGTTAAAATGTGGTTTCTCTCTGTTGGGTGAAGACTGGTATGTGCTACAAGTTACTTAACTAGTCCACCAGACATGGTACAAGGGCTACTACCATGTGAATTAGCAAGGAAATTCTACACAGCAGCTACATGAAAATCTTCATGATAAAATAAGTTCGAGAACATAATCAGTCACTCCTTGTTTTATGAATTTTATTGTAATAGTAGCACATTGCTTCTATAATCTCTAAAGTTGTCATATCCTATATCAGTAAGTGGTTTATTTTACAGTTTGTACAACCACATAAAGATGGCCAGTGATTTGCATCAGGGCTGTGATTACTCTTTGTTCAAGAAAGGGATACGTCCAATGTGGGAAGATGATGCAAACAAGCAAGGAGGCCGCTGGTTAATAAACCTGGCCAAAAATCAGAGAGCAAATGAATTAGATAAATACTGGCTTGAAATAGTAAGTACAGACTTTTATATTAGTATATGCCATCTAACCAACCAACTCTATGGTAGTTCAACATGATAGAAAATTCCCCCCCCCCCATCATGGTCCTGAGCCAGTTCCATCCACCATCAAAACACATTTTCCTAATATATATTGTAATGTTACTTCCTGTATCCTTCTCAGTTGCCCAGGTGGCCACTTTCGAAGAGGATTTTCCATTAAAATCACAAAATTATATGTATGTCTCTTGCAGCCTTTCTGAGCCAAAAGCCTGGCTTGTCATAAATTTCTATTTTTCACTACCCTAACAGTACCAAATTAATGGTAAATATGGAGTGCCTTCCTACATAATATCTGAAATTATATCTTTTTTCTTTTTTTTTTTTTTTTTATTTCTTGACGTGGGGTGAGACTCTGCCTCTATTTGGCCTGTTGTACCATCCCTAGCTTATAGACAAGTGTGGAGCAGTTGGTGGAATGACAGTTGGCAGGGGAATCTGAAGTCCTTGGAGAAAACTTGTCCCAGTGGCACTTTGTTGGACACAAATCCCACATGACCTGGGCCGCCGCAGTAGGAAGCCAGCAACTAACTGCCTGAGCTATGGCATGGCCAACTACACAGAAACACTATTTTTGAAAAAGAAATGCAGGAAATAAATTTATAGCTAAATACACATGTACTCGTATAAAATCATTAACCATGCAAACTGAGTAGTCTGAATGTGCACTTGTTAGTTATGTGATTATGCTGTACCTGAATAACTTATCTGACAACCACTTGACTTTCCACGTGTACATTTAATTTATTAGAGAATTTAATATTGTGGCATATTTGCTCAAAGTAAGAACTGTGGAGCCAGAGAAAAAGCTGTTGCTAGTGAACGGCACTGAAACAACATTAGTTTCTAGGCAACGGCCGCGAAACAGACAGTGGAATGACATCTGTTGCTAGGCAGCAGATTTTTAATAAGCAAGAATAGACTGCTGCTGCTGCTAGGAAACTGGGTATATTCCCAGGATAAAACTATTGAAGGCATTTACAGATGTAGAGTTCAGGTTCTCTGGACCTGATTTAGTGGAAAATACTTCCCATCAACGATGAAAAGTTAATGTAAGTAATGTATAAATATTTGGAAACTTTTAAGTAAAATTCTCTATCTCTTGAGTTGGATTATAGTTTTTAACTGTTGCATATAATCTGCATAATTAGGATTGAGCATTTACTGTCAAAATGTTGATTTTTCCTCCTTTTATAGCTGTTATGCATGATTGGTGAAGCGTTTGATGAGAATAGTGAAGATATCTGTGGAGCTGTTGTAAATGTTCGATCGAAGGGAGACAAGATTGGTGTCTGGACTGCTGATGCTCAGAAATCACAGAGTGTTATGGAGATTGGGTAAGATTTATTACAACGAAGTGCTTGTTTTTGTATTCTCAATAAAACCATAATGGTACCTGCTAATATCCATCTCTCCCTAGATACGAGGGTTGGGACTTTAATAGTGGCAACTATTTATTTACAAGTGATACCAAATAGATGCATGTTTCGAAGTTTTATTGTCCTTCAGTGTAGTCACCAGCATTGTGTACAACCCATTGCCAGCGATGTGGAAGTCGTAGGATACCTTTAGCAGAGCCTGTTGTGTTGATAGTTTGAACGGAGCGGTCTACTGCCTGAAGATTCTCTGGAACAGTTCTGAAGCGAGCCACAAAGTGGTTCCTTCATCTTAGGAATCAAGTTGAAGTCACAAGGGCTTAAGTCCGGGGAGTATGGTGGATGGTACAGCACTTCCCAGCCCCATCGATCGAACAAATCAGCCACAGCTTGCGCTGCATGTGGCCGAGCATTGTACTGCAAAATGATGGTTGGGTTCTGCAGAAAGTGTTGCCGCTTCTTACTCAAAGCTGGTCGCAGGTTGTGTTCCAAAAATGAACAGTAGTACTGGTCATTGACGGTCTGCTGTCGGGGAACAGTATGTGTTAGGATAACACCATCACAGTCGTTCACGAGAATCAACATAACTTTCACATTGCTGGGGTTCTGACAAACTTTTGATTTTCGTGGTGACCCGCAATCATGCCATTCGTTCAATTGGCGTTTCATTTGTGGCTCGTACGATTTGGCCCATGTCTCATCCAGCGTAATGATACGGCGTAAGAAAGCCTCTCCTTCGCGCTCATAGCGCTCCAAGTGGTTACGAGCAGTGTTGTATCGTAGCCATTTCTGCATTTCCGTCAAATCATGCGGAACCCATCATGATGCAATTTTTCTCATGCCCAGGCATTCCTTCAGAATGTGAAGCACAGTCGTATGTGCTAATCCTGTCTCTCGGGCTAGCTCACAAATCATATGGCGTCAATCACTCTCCAGTAACGTGGAAAGAGCATACACTTCTTCTTCACTGACGCTAGGACAACCTGGCCAACGCATGTCTGCCACATTTTGGCGTCCCTCGTTGAAGGCTTTTACCCACCTTGCCACTGTTCTGTAAGGCAATGCAGGTTCCCCGCAAGCCTCTTGAAGACCTTGATGACACTGCCATGCTGTACAGCTTCTGGCACATTCAATCTTTATCCAACTCCGTTGTTCCTGTTTCGAAAACATCGCGACAACACTACACTAGACCGCCAGCTTACAAGAGGCTCTGTTCTTCTCATCACTGCGCATGCGCGTGATGTGGGAAGGGAGAGTCCATTTGCTCTGAGGTAAGGTAGGTATGTAACTAATGTGTGGTATAAGCGACATTATTTGGTTCCGTTGCATGGCGTCTCTACAGCAGTGTTGCCACTATTAAAGTTCCAACCCTTGTATTTGCTGCTGTTTTAACTTGCAACAGGACTTGATGCTTCTTTTCTAGAAGTTTGAAATTCCTTGCACCAGATAGTATGGAGGGATTACAAGATCCTGCCATAAATTGTTTGGCCCCTCCTTTAGGAGGGACACTTACTATTCATCTCAACTCCCATGGCACGCATTCAAACTTATCACATAGCAGACAGGCCAATATCTTATACAAATTACTATTTATTTTCAGTAACATACTGTCTCCATCTTTTAGAGTCAAAGATATGGTAGGCAGGTAGCAAACTGATGCTTACTTGCTCACTGCTTGTGTAGCATAACTTCAACTCAGAAGATGGAAACAGTACAGTCCCCTGAAATATCAGTGAACTTCTACTGGACTATGCACCATCACATGCACCCTTTATAATCACCACTGTGAGGACCTCAAGATTCAGCAGAATTTTAAGAAGCTAGTTAATGGGTGAAAACTTGTATAAAGTTATGTATTATTATATTTTAATGTATTTAGACCAGGGATAGAAATGTGCTCACCACCACTCTACATTAACTGACAGGTGGTGGAAACTGAATGTAGGCTATTTTTTGAGCTAGTAACCATATTTACTGAATGAAAGCCTGACTGATGTTCTTGCTTTTGTAAGTAAAGTAAGGTGAAGTAAAGAAGAGATATAAAATTATAGTTAGAAAACTTGAAGGAATAAGACTGAAATGAGATAAAAACAACAGTGAATAAGGTGATATGTTTATTGTGCATTTCCCTCAAAATAGTTCCCAAGGGATCAAATATGTGTATTACAGCATTCATATATGCTTCAGAAAGACTTGGAAAACTTATCTGCTCTGATGATATTCAGTTCTGCCATCATGTTCTTGTGAATGTCATAAAAGGTTAATTAATTCCATCCACTGTAGGACTGATGCTTTTTTTTCCTCTCCTTTTTAATATTTTATCCTTAACATGCTTCAGTCTTTTAGACCATCTTCAGAAGGATATCAATACAATTAGAAACCACTATTACAGTATGTTTTCTGAATATTAATATATACACAGTGTTATAATACAATAAGTACAAAATTATTTTTTTTAACAAATACAGCAGCTTGTATTAATATGTTAAAATATTTATAAATTACAGTTAGTATGTTTAAGAAGATTTTGCTAAAATTTTTAAACCAAATTGGTTTGTGTTCTTGTTATTTCTTCTCTATATTGTTAGTGTGATGGACCATGATGAAACAAATCAAACTTTAGAACGTCATTTAACATACCAGATTGGCAACCTTTCACTTGCAATTTCAGCTTGGGAAACAGCAGTCTTCTAGAACCAGGTTGTCAGGGGAATAAGGAGGGTAATTTAGCAATGCAATCCCTTTTTTGGTCAGTAATGTCTTTTATGTTGATCACTGGGTGAGCAGGCATTTTGCCATGCAAAAGCTTATAAGCAAAATGTTCCAGATCTGGCCTCACACTTGATTCTTGCTAATAAATATTTTGGTACCCCTAAGTAGTTCTTCCTGTTGACAGTCATTCCTTCAGGCTCAAATTCTTTATGAACTGTGCATTTTGAATTGAATTTGATCATCATGTTTTAGATGTGTAATTCTGGGTATACACTTTTTATGGTCCCGGTAAGCTGTGTGATTGCCATTGCTCTTTGGTCTCAGGATCATACAGAAACACTGTGACACATCTCCAATAATGATGGTGTTTAGAAAACCAGGTTCACTCACACATGTGCATGCATGCGCACACAGTGTGTGATACAGACTTCACACAAATTTTTCTCTTACCCAGGTCTGCGGTAATTATGGACCTCATTGATTTCTTATTTACATTTAGTTCACTAGCTGTAACTCTGAGTGTCCTGCAAGTAAATCAGACACTTTGTCCACCAGTTCTGAATTTGAGGTGGTTTTCAGTCATCTATTACAATGCTCATCTTCCACATCCTTTCTGTCCTCTTGAAAATGCTTAAACATTAAGATGTTTGTCATCAAGACAGCCTTATCCCTATAACCTGTTCCTCCCATTTCATGTGTTTCAGTGGGGGCTTTTCCCCAACTTTACACAAAACTTGATTTTGATTCATTATTCCACTGTGGAATTTATTTCTGGGGTGGAAACTCCCATAAGGCTTATTCTGCTACCCCCAGTGGTTTTAAAACCCAGTCACAGTGGCTGCATGTTCTAGGGCATGAAATGTCTTTGCCCACTGGACACTGGGACTGTAGATGTGAATCCCACTCGAGGCATGGATGTCTGTGTTCGTTTATTTTGTTTTTGTATAGTCCTGTGTAGGTAGTGGTCTTGCGACAGGCTGATTAACCGTCCAAGGAGTCCTGCCGACCATGTATGAGATTAAGGAACTTAAGGAGCAGCCAGGGCCCAAACTGGGCTGTAGAACCATTAGTAGGGGTATTAATGGATTTAATAAAAGGAGTGTAATACAACTTAATGTAGACTCAAATGTAGGAGCTTGGTATTAACCATATTAGGAGATCTCAGCTTAGAGAAATGTACACTAAATCTGATCATGTATGAAAAACTTAGAACCCTGTTCAGTGAAAGTTTAGTGCCTTACATATAGGCTGCCATATGTCATAAAACAAAGGATCAGTTTTATGAACAGTCATTGTGGAGCCTGTAACATGTTACAATAAAGTCATATTATCCGGTATTTATGGGGAATGGGGTCTGCTGGTTGCCTGAGGAAAACTTACAGAAATCCAATACAAGGTCAAAACTGCATTTTCACTTCAGTTCTTGCATGGGAGTCTTCCTAGGTGACATGACAGATTGATGGGTGAAAGATTTCAGGTACATACACTAACATGAGCACAGAGTTAACTAGCCTGTACTGTAATGGAACCTGCATGCAGGAGGATGAGTAGTGCTGCTAGTGTCAGCTTGGAGAACTGCCTTGTAGCAGGTCAACATATGCACATTTCAAATTTGTTTTTGAATAACTTCATAAAAAGAGTGAATTTTATTTGAAATCTTTGCTGGTTGGATGAGGATTCTGAATGCTTGTATGCTGGATAACCCAGAATTTACTGTATTTTCAACATCAGTTTAACTTTCAAATATGTTTTCTTCTCTGGCATTGAATGTATTACATTAATCTTTTTCATAATTGTTTTACATGGTGCTGTAAATTTTGGGTGTTATTGAAGAATTTTTCCGTGACTGTTTACCAAAATTTGTAAAACACTTCAAATTTACAGCTGAACTCAAGGAGATGTTGAGAGTTTTATCAGTTAAAGCTGACATTTCATGGTTTTGTGGAACAATGTATGTATTTAAAAGACTTACAAAGATGGCTAGATGACTATTTACAGTGTTTCTGTTTGTTTTTCAGGCGAAAATTGAAACAGCGCCTCAATATTGGCCGTAATGTTACTATTGGCTACCAGATCCATAAAGACACTATGGTTAAAGCTGGATCTGTTACTAAAAACACTTACACGGTATAACAGCCTGTATAGATTAGGGAAGAGTTAAATGTGGATTACTTGAATGGATGATAATGTTTTAAAATTGGTACACAAGTTTGATCGCTCAATTATTTTTTATTTTTGATGATTTTGAAAATGTAGACTATGGAAAAATATTTATTGAAACTACAATGTAAGTTCTTCTACACAAATATTTGAGTAGAGAAGATATTTTGGTTAAGGAGAAGTCTTTCTTTCATGCAGTCTTGTCTCCAGTTGCTGTCTTCATGTACTGTTAAATCATATTATTTAAGTATATATTATTCATTTTATGTGTAAGGACTTTCTTCAACATGTTGACATCTTCCATGCGAACTAACCACTAACAATGAGTGTGTTCATTATTGTCATAACTATTTCTTGTCATGTAAACTTTCTAAAATATAAGTTTAAATTTTCCTTAAACTAACATATTTAATGCATAAATGGTCTTGTTCATATACATGGACAGAATTGTAAATATCTAAGTGATGGAAACAGGTTATAGATAAAATATGTGATAATGGAATCAGCACATAATAATTGCTATAGAAACTGAAGGATAGGGAATGAATATACTTTTTTTTATTGTTCAAGTCCTTTTTTAATTTGTATATTTTACATTTTGTTCATGTGAAAAACACTTTCTGTTGTAATATTTTGTTCGTTTATTCATTTTGCTATTCAATTCAGTTACATGTTAGATTTACAATCTAGAGGTATAAAAGTTATTTAAAGCTTAGAATTTGTGCTGATATAATCTGTACTTATGTATGTATAGAGTGTATTCTGCATTTTCCATATTAAAAAAGAAAACTAATCACTGTTAACTATTTATTATATATAACTTGACACTAAGGGTGCCAGCAATCTAGTTCTGAAAAAGTATGTACATTAGTTACTGAGCAATGGCCATTTTAAGCTTGTTTTCACATCTTGCTGTTTTTCCAGTCTGTTTAAGCCTTCTGAACATATCTTTATGGTTTGATCTAATTTTTATTTTTGACAGGAATGTTCCTAAATTGCAAGAAGCACAATATGGAATAAAACTATGCTAACAGAAAACATATTTCAGCAGACTGTTCCTGTTAAAGGCTTGCTTTTCATTTGTTTCTGCATTAAAAAAAATTATTACTACTTTATGGAGCCAGGTGACTAACAAGACACTCCTTTAAATAAGTTACTGCACTTTCTTTGAAGTGCTGAAACAGAGAGGGGGATGCATAATAAATCAGAATGGTTGTGGTTCAAGAACTGGTCAAGGCCTGCCCCTTATTCATTCAGTTTATTAGAGATAACTCTATATTGATATTCATTATATATTCTCAGGAATGGAGAAGAAAATTTTCAAATGCTGGTATTATTGTACAAGGTTATGAAGAATGTGCTTCACATACATTTTACATGTTTACAGTTTATATGACTCTCTTGTGAACATGGTAATAAACCTCCGAGTTTTGTAAAAGAATGGGACTATCTTACTTTTATAAGTGACCATTATCGTATTAAGTTAGGGTTCACCCTCCATACAGTTAATCAGTAAAATTTTAAAGGTACAAAGGAACAGTTTATAAAAGGATGGCAAAATATTCTAAATCAAGTTCACTGGTCTGGCATTAACAGTATAGACTTGTATTCAGTGCTTCATTGAAATCTTTGACCTGAATGCTGACTATTGACTGAATTGTTCTATAGTCTTCCTCATTCCTTCCAGGCAAACGCAGTGATTATATCTTGATTAGGTCACAGCCACTTTTCTTCAAAACTCAATTATTTTATAATTATAGTAAAAGTAAAGCTATCCCTGTAACAGGCCGTGAAGGCCCATAGGGTTGTGAGACGTTGAGGGTCCCACACTATCTAGACCAGGCATGTCAAACTCAACTTGTACAGAGGGCCACCTCAGCCATATAAATAATAGTCCAGGGCCGCACTTCAAAATAGAAATATACATTAGATTTTGATACAAGGAAATTTAATCCTAATTATTATTTAGGAATAATTTCAATATAATTACCTGAAGTCACATATCTTACAGTTCTAAAAAGCAAGAGAGTGCCATTTTTGACAAGTATCAAACAGCTTTTCAATATGTAAAAAGAGAGATTACACAAGAAGTTATGTTAGAAATAGCAAAACATTGAATTTCCTGCAGCCTGCTAATTTATCTCTGCGTGACAATTCTTGTCTTCTGGTCTGTTGGAAAATTGTCTTTACAAAAAATATTTCTACTAAAGTTTTAATATTGATTTTAATATCAATTAGCTCTAAAAGTTGAGGGGCCGCATGTTTGACACAGCTGATCTAGACAGTCAGCCCTATGCGCCGGCCATGCTTTACTCCCCAGGAAAATTATATAGCATAGTTGGCTGAGGCACTATGCTACAAGCTGGAAGGTCGCTGGTTCAAGTCCTGATGAGGTCATTGGATTTTTTCAATTGACCTAATCCTTCCAGCTGCACTGTGGCCCTGGGGTAGACTCAGCCTCTAACAGAAATGAGTACCAGGAATAATTATAGTAATAATAATTATTTATTTATGTGCTGACTTAGTCTAGTTGACAATTACAAAGGCAGTGTATATATAATAATTAATTTCAAATATGCTTATGCCATAACTACAGTGCTAATAGCTCATTTGTGTTATGAGTGCAAGGTATCAATCAGATTCGGCAACATTAGTAGGCATGTGTAAGAATGACATCTTCAGTTGAGATGAGAATGAGAATTTTCTGTACACCAATTTTTTCAATATACTCAACATGCTAGCCACATTTTCACAATGGCAGGATGGAGACATTTTTGTTAACAAGTTTATTCTTGCTAATAATGGCAACCATTATGATCTTGATGGATTGGGTAGTTTGTGTGCCACCATGCAGGGCAAAAAGTTATCTGAAAATTTTTGAAGTTAAAAACTGAAATATCAACATTCAAATATAGATAATTTTTTCTCAGTCTAAAAAATGTGAGACACTCACATGCATAATGATATGTTTCTTCAAGAATTAGGAATAGCAAATACTTGGATGGAAAAAAACATCGAAAATTTTAATTTATAAAGGTCATACATCTGCAGAAAGTTTGAACTCCTCTGCTGAAGGTGTGTGATGTCTTTAAGAATCTTCAAGCTGTCACAAGCATTTCCACTGTCATTTCCATGGATACTGGCTTCATCCATTTCACTACTGTTACATTCATATTCACTTTCTGTGCCCCCCTTTTCCTCATTGCTACCACTGAATTAATCCAGAACATGTAAGTTTTGAGGTTTTCACGGCGATGACAATGAAGAAGTTGTCTTCTGGGTTTAGGCACCGTGTATTCTTCGTTTTGGCCGACGTTTCGGAGGAACGTAGCGCCTCCATCTTCAGAGCAGTTGAATAGCTGCTCTGAAGATGGAGGCACTACGTTCCTCCGAAACGTCGGCCAAAACGAAGAATACACGGTGCCTAAACCCAGAAGACAACTTTCTTCATTAATCCAGAACAGTTCTAAAACATTGTCGGTGAGTATTCCCTCTCATCCTTCTACATGATGCACTTTTTACAGCCTTTAATATCATCATCAGTTCTTTTATTTAGCCATACAGATAGTGAAGAAAATTATTCATAAGGTAGGGTTTCCATTATACAGAGTTCATCGAACAGCTCACAGATGGAAGCAGAATAATTTACCTACAAAACTGTTGGTGGGTATTTTCAGACTCAAGCCTTCAATAAAAAATTACCAACGTGGGAAACACCCAACATACAACCACAAAGGGTTAAAATTCTATTTCTTCAGTCCTAGTCACAAGTATCCCTTATGTGCATGTCATGTAAAACAGACTTTTATTGAAAGGAAGAATTATGCTGTTGAAGAGTAACAGCAACTTCGCTATGCTCTCCTGTTGAGTATTTCTTCCACATCTTCTCTCAAGTCTCTCCTCCCACATTCATCAAGAGCACGTAGCAGTTTCTGCCGTACTTTGTACGGATCTGTTTCATTTATAAATCTTTTCATGCACTGAAACAAAAGTTCAAAATATATAGGAGACAAGAACATCAATAAAGTTCTACAACTATATGAGGACATAAGTTAAAGACTGCCCTTCAGTACCACGAAGGCACACAGAACAGATTCTAGAACTAGACACTAGGGTGTGTGATCAGCTTCACGCATCAGCTGCTTTACCTCCAAGGGAAAGAGACCCATGTGCCCAATGGCCAAGAGGATGGGTGAACTCCAGATACTGAGATAAGATAAACATCTATCTCTGCTAGGAACTCATGCCACTTTACTTTGCTGAATCAGCTACTCCACCATCTTGTCAGAAAACAAACACTTCAGATCACTCATGATTCAAATGTTTTTACCCAAAATTTCCAGTATCATATGGCTACTGGCATGGGCGTAGAGGAGGCTGCCTAACATATTTTGAGTAGAGGCTTTTGTGTATCAAGCGCACACTTCAAAGGCAAACATATTTGAGTGTCAAACATTTGCTCTCAACAAATTTAATATTTTTTGGAAATCAGTTACCATACTATGTTTTAGGACCCAATGCCAAGTGATGCTAGTGTCATTTCAGGCTCAAAATTCTGTATGGCTGCCACTGATGGTAGGAAACAGTACAGTCTCAAAAAATTGGAGTAAACAGGGCTGAGGTCTACCTCAAATTATTGAAAAACAATATAGAATTACCCCCCCCCCCAAGAATGAGTCGCAATGTACATGATTTTATCATGCAGAGGTTCAACATATATTAGTCAAGACAGCAGATGAATATGAATATACCATCAGTCTGTCCTTACAAACCTAGGAATGTGGGCTAAAATCATATACACTGGCCACATATGAAATGTAAATTTATCATGCAGACATGACAATACATGCCTTTCCATCTTTTGAAAATTATTATATTATTTAGTCCTGAAAATTCAAAATACCTCATAAGCACGTTCCTTCAAATTCCTGGGATACTGAACTTCAATGTCATCAATTTCTCCTTCACGTATTGACAGATTTCTTGCTAGGTCTCTCCAATGTGTTCCTATGTCTTTACAAACACGATCCAAGACTGGAAAAGAAATTAAGACTGCCGAATGACAAATGGTCACAGTGAAACTGACAGCAGAGACATTCTGACTGATTCAATCTTGGATTATTTTCAACTCCACAATTATATGTTGTGTGTGGTTTTTAGATGCCTTACTGTTTAAAACCTCTACTGCTTACATTAAATTACAAGGATGATACAATAAAAGTGATAATATGCCAGACTGCATGGGAGTCTGTCATTAAAATTCCAGACACACAAAATATATGCAGCTTGGCAAAACAGCATAACATAACGGTAAAGTTGTCCACTGCGCTTAATTAAGCACTCTGCCATGAAAACAACTGGGGGAGTGGAGGTATAGCTCCACCATTCTTGACCTTGGCACTAGATTGAGATGAGAGGTCATGTTCATACCATGGCAAAAGAGCCCCTGCTACCCACTGGATAGGAGGCTGGGTGTGCCTCAGAGCTGGTCAGGACACTGGAGAAAAGAAATAATATCTTACCCTTGCCAAGAACCAAACCCCAGCTGCTCAGCCCTAGCCTTTTGCTTTACTGACTGAGCTATCCCAAGTTCTAATGTTCCAACATTAAAATGACATAAAACATCAATTAAATGGATTTGGTAAGTCCTGTTACCACTAAGGCAGGAATGAGCAAATTAAAGCCCATGGGCTTGATCTGGCCCACAGGGCTCTTGAGAAAATTTGCCCATATGATTATTTTATGTCAACATTTTTAAAATTTTCTGGAACAGTGTAGTAATGTATTTTTCCATAGAAGTGTAAGAATTTAATTTCAGATGATTTTTGCAGCAGTAAACATTTATTCGATAGTTCTTATCCAGTGTTGTTCCTGAAGTGTGACACATTCCTAAATTATGCTATAATCAAGGTATAGGCAAATTGTACTCCAGGTAACTCTAGACAGGGTATGTCTGTAACTTTATCAGCTTTATAGAAATTCATAGTAGCAATGGGGTGCTTTACTATCATCTTCTACACACCCCAAGGTATAGGATGGAAACAGATGGAATCTGACAAACACTTCTCAGGAACGGACCCCTTGGCAAGAAAAAGGTGAGAAGTGTTGACTGAAATGTGGGATCTCAAGGAATCTGTGTTTTGTGACACACAGTAGATTCAGCTGGCTCAGGACAGTCCATTATCTAGTTTCATGAACACAATGTGGGGTGTCAGTTCCGGTAGCATGGACAGACAGCCACATAAATCTCTATAAAAAATATTTATTCCCATTAGAAGAATATACAGATGAGCAGGTAGGCAGAGTGTGCGGTAACCAGTGAGGTGTTGGGGTTCCTGAAAAGGGCCATAACTCTAAGGGAGTGCCCAATAAATTTCAGCTGCAGCAGGCTGGCTCATCGGTCTTCCTTCTGTGGGCTGACGGTGTTGCTGTCTGCACTCCACATAAGCTGTCTCAATGTAAGCGCAGCTGTAACTGAGTAGTGTATCAGAGTTCTGCATCTTTATACTCTGTTGCAGCGTCTGACCCAATGGGTGTTGGAGCGGCTGTGGTCCATGCTGATTGGCTACCGCTTACTTCAATGTGAGATGCTCCCATAACAACAGTGAAGCACTGGGTGTTATAAAGGCTGGGAATATGATGACCACATCAGTTTCTGAAGGAAGGCTACACACTGTATAGTTATAAGCCTAATGTTTAAATATTCTGGTCAGATCCTGATGCTGGCTAGAGTTGTTTGAGATGCAAGGACATCTTTATAGCACAGTAAGGAGGAGGAGGAGAACAACAACAACAGATTTGAAGCCTGGTATTATGAATACAGGGACACTATGATGGGCTGGAAATTTACCTATATTCTTCTCTCAAGGTTAAATCCATATATAGATGAAATTATTGGGGATCATCAGTGTGGGTTTCCATGTAACAGACAATGAGACAGTACATCAGCCAGTGGCGTGCCGTGCATGGAAGTAAGGGAAGCATTGCTCCCGTAGTTAAGAAACGAAAAGAAAAGAAGTCATATATAAATAATTCAGTTTGAATAACAAGGATTTGAATACTGTCATTTAGCGCGTGTTCCTGCTCAAGGCCACATGCCGCCTCCTCCTCCTCCCTTACCCTGCTTGGTGAGATGGACCAAGTTTTCTTTTGTTTATCTCCATACGAATTCGTTCCATCCGAAGTGGTCAACGGAAGCAAATTTTGGTTTGCTGGCTAGAACAGCGAAGGAATGTGTTCTTTCAATGGTTATGTGAGCGAAGGAATGTGTTCTTTCAATGGTTATGTGAAAATTAACTGTTTATGGGTGATTTCAGTCTTGTTGGGTGTTATAGGTAACATTAAGTTCTATTAAGGCCGCGCCATAGCTCAAGCGGTTAGTCGCTGGCTTCCCATCGCGGCAGCCCGGGTTCAATCCCGGGCCTGGTCAAGTGGGATTTGTGGTGGACAAAGTGGCGCTGGAACAATAGGCCAGAAATGCCCGCAGTACAAGGGACTTAGTCCCACCCCACTAGCATTAAAAAAGAAAAAAGTTTTATTAAAATATTGTAAGTGCATATTTAAATGGCGTAAGATTGTATTTGTGATCATATTTTGATGCATCAGAAAGAAGCTATCTGTATCTAAGGAAAGCAAGTCTGATACTGTGGTACAAGGGCAATGGGCGTGATTAGACTACATGCGCAGGCCACAGCTAAAATGTTTGCTGGCAGCCGTGACTGCGACTGTGCAATCGAAAGCCTTTTAAAAAGGGGGTTTAATAGCAGGGAGTTTTCTGAAAAGAAATTAATTTTAGAAAGAGGACGACCGACATGAGAGTTGCCAGAACTTAAGGCACAAACCAAATTATGTGTGAGGAAATTTAATTTGGAATAGTATTCTAAAACAGAGTGGCTATCCAGTTGCCGTATTCATTCATCTGTAATCTGTCAAGACGACAGGTCCACAGTCTCTTCCAAAAAGTTCCTCCACATGACGCGATCTAGAGCTTTCTCCTTCAAATGAAAATATCCTCTTCTGTCCCCAAGGTCATCCATCTTCTTCCTCGTCTTCTGGTCACTTCTATCTGCCCCTCTATCTTTCCTTCAATAACTTCCTTTAGAAGGCCGTTACCGCGTAAGATATGACCAAGCCAATTAGCCTTCCGTTTTCTTATTTTGTGTAGGATATTCCTCTGCTCACTGACTCTAAATAACACTTCTTCATTTCTCACATAATTGGTCCAACTGATCTTCTCCATCCTTCTCCAACACCACATTTCAAAGCTTTCCAGGTGTTTCTGATCTACTGCCCTAAGTGTCCAAGTTTCAGCCCCATACAAAGTGATGCTCCAAATGTAGCATTTTGACTAGTTTCTTTCTCAAATTTAAGTCCAATTTGCTGGTAAAAAGATTCTTCTTGCTAAATGCAGCTTTTGCCATGGCAATCCTAGATTTAATTTCACACATACACCTTTCATCATCTGTTAACAAGCTACCCCAATATTTAAAACATTTCACATTCTCCAGTTGTTTTTGATCTATCTTTATTGTAACTGGGGTTGGTTGTCTCGAAATTTTCATTACTTTTGTTTTTTCCACATTCATTTCCATGCCATAGCACCTTCCAATTTCAATTAGTCTATTAATCATGCACTGTAGCACAGTTTCTTCCTTAGCCATTAACACAAGGTCATCTGCATATTTCACAGTTTGAATAATTTGCCCTACTAATTTGAAGTCTCCAAACCCATCCAGAGCTTCTTTGGTAAGGCATTCACTGTACAAGTTGAACAGAATTGGTGATAAACAGCATCCTTGTCGAACTCCTCTTCCAATCTTCACACTTCTTGTCTCCCCTCTGTCCAGTCGCACTCTAACTTTCTGATCCATGTACAATTTACTAATCAATCTCCTTTCACGCCAGTCGATAACTGTTTCCTTTAGGATCTGCATTAATTTGGTCAAATTTACACGGTCAAATGCCTTCTGCCAGTCTATAAAGCAAGCACACAGTTCTTCATCTATCTCCAAAGTTCATTCAGCTATAATTCTCATTATCCCAATTGCATCCCTGGTTCCTTTTCCTCTTCTAAATCCAAACTGATCGTCTCCAAGTATATCCTCTATTTTCCTATCAATTCGTCTTTTAAGTATCTCTGCTATTATCTTTGCTGTATGTGCAATAAGGCTTACTGTGCGATGGTCACCGCATTCTGTAGCTTTTGTCTTTTTAAGGCAATTATTGTCACTTCTGTAGTTTTGTCAGTGTTTTCAAACCACGTTCTCCCACTAACTTAAGCACATCTCCAGGTACATCAACATCTCCTGTAGCCTTTCCATTCCTCATGTCCTTGATAGCTTTTTCCACCTCACTTTGTAAAATATATGGTCCTTTCTCGTCTGTATCTACTTCTTCTTCGGGTTCCACTTCCAAGGTTTCTGGCCGATTAGGTTGATCATATAGTTCTGTAATATAATTTTCCGAAATTTTCAGCACTTGCCTCTGATCTACTATTCTATTCCCCTGGGAGTCTTCGATGCCAATATTTTGAATCCCATGGTTCTCTTTCCATCCTAGTTCTTTTGTCTTCATGTACATCAAATCATAACATCCTGTCCTTTGAAATTCTATAATCTCATTACATATCTTCTCAAG